ACATTTAAAAAATGTATTCGCAATATTAGATAAGTTCTAATGCCTCCCCTTTCTTCTTCCTAATTATCTTACTTGAGAAAATTAATGATAATACAATACAATATATTTAGCCCAATTTCAATCAACAATTACCGATTTTTTCATACATTACTCTGAACCTCAACAATCATATAGTTTACAATATAATTTAAATCAAATCTCTATAAATAAATAAATTAAAAAAATAATATTAAGCAGACATAATCCTTTTAATTCAAACAATTAGACACATTTATTACTTTTAAACCTTATTTACCTGTGTAAAAAAATTACGTTTTATCTATTGTATTGGCAATTTACACATGCAAGTGAATATATAAAAGCTGCAATTAAATTACGCATAAATCTCATTTCAATAAATTTTCGAGCATATCAATTCATGATATGTTTCTTTTCAAAACAATAAAGAATTTCTTTCTTAAAACAGCAAAAAGTTCTGTCCACTGAATTCTCTTGTGGTTAACTGAGAGTCCGGCTAAAGGTCAGAACATCCAGAGTTCGAATGTCGGTTAGAGCATAAGTGATTTTTCCCGTATCTTACTTCAAAAAGGCCTAAGAGACTGGACACAGGAAGTATTAGAATTATATACAATAAATATTCGAAAAGAGTAATAGATTCTAAACAGTTCAGATTATTTGAGGTAATGAGGAATTATGATAAAGCGACTTTTAATTATAAATTAAAAATTAGAGGTGTAAATTTTAAGATTTCATATTGTTTCTTCTCCTTTTCCTGCCTTGATGAATTTAATGGTATGTTAAAGGGAAAAAATACATGTTCACACTTCTTCAGTTGTTATACTCGTAATGTGCACAATAGTTTTACGTACAATAATAATTTACGGGGTGTCAAAGGACACTCTGACACATGGCTACGTCATCATTGCTTCTAAGTTTTGTTTCCAGAGTTAATTTCTATAATACTATTACATCTAAGTTCGCTTCATTATATATATATATATAATGAACTTGGTTGTAACGAAAGATTTCCAGCAAAAACGTTCTTAAAGAAAATGTGAAAGCAGTAATTTTACTGCGGGTAGTAATCACTACCCAAGTCTATGATTTTCTGCCAGCGTTTTGGTAGTTTTTCAAAGCCTTCGGCCCAAAAATATGGTGCCCGCAAGTCCAAAAACAGATCAATCTCATTTCCGATGTCCTGTACAGAATGGATGATAGCACCAGCAAGATGCAGCTGCAGGTGTGAAAACAGGTAGAGTTCCGAAGGAGCGATTTCGGGGCTATATCGTGTGTGTGGCAAAGGATACCATTCGAGACCGTACAGAGTCCAGCTGGTGAATTCAGATACATGCGGTCTTGCATTATCTTGATTGAACATAACCTTTTTGCGCCGGAATCCACTTCGATGTTTTGCCTTCATAGACTAACATCACCTTGCTGTCGAGGGTTTTACCTTTTCCAGATACTCCTTGTGGATAATACAGCGACAGTCCCACCAGATATAAAGCATGATCTTTTTGTTACGCGTTCTGCAAATCGATTATGCTGCCGACGGGCGAACCGGGCGCAGGTCAATCTCCTTTTCTGCCTGTGTTGTTAAGTAAATCTACTTTACGTCATAAGTGACGATCCGGTTCAGAAGTTTGCCCTTGCGTTAGTATTTGAGCAGATTAATGCAGGCGCGAGCACGCCTGCCCTTTATCTGCTTGAGTCAGCTCATGCGGCACCCAGAGATTGAACTTGTACGTGAAGTTTATGCAACGCATAGCGCGATTAATGGACATGGTACTAACGTCGAACTCCTTAGTAAGTTCTCGAGTGGGTACATAATGTTTTTCTTCCACAAGTTCTCACTGGGCCTTGTCAATATCAATAGGCCAGCCAGAGCGCTATACTTCTTGAATGTCATAATTCGTGTTTTGGAACTTATATTACCAAACATTCACAGTGTCATATGATACGACATTATTAGTACTTAAAGCTAATTTAGTGACATTCTGTAGCTCAGAAGTGGAAATAAATGATGATTCTAATCTGGTAGCTTGATAGTTCCATTTCGGACACCTGTACTTAATGATAAAGATATTTTTTTTAACAAATTTCACAACACGGTGATCTAAAACAAATCTCATTCTTTCAAATGCTAAAAATCGTTTGATCAAAAATACGATTAAACAAGCCTCCGCGAACTATTAGCCCCGACGATATTTGTGGTGGCGAGAAACTTTTGTTTCAATCCGATATATATATAAAGCAAACTGAAGCAACATCCCTGAAGAGTCCTGCACTCTTTCTTGGATATTCCTCAGTCTTAAGAAAATAAAAGTTGTTTATTATGTTTGTTAATCTTACTGTTCTCTCAATAATTACAGCACTCCTCCCTAAATTTGCGATTCTAAAATTTTGCTTTGTTTTGCAGGACAAGTTCTTTTAATGCTTAGTGTAGTTACAAATAACGATAATTGAATAAAGAAGTTGTGATAGCATGCTAAGACAAACCTAATTTGCATGTTATGTAAACAGTAATTACTCGATTATGCTTTTATAAATAGAAAAAATATAAAGTTAAATGCGTTATTTTTCTTTTTAATATTGATTTAGAAAAATCGATACAGAATTAATAATTTATTTATAACTTTGTTCTCATTTTCATTGCATTTCACAGAATTTGTAGAAAATCCATTCATTTAAATTTTTACCGGGCTTTCAGCAATTTATTAACATAAAGTATGTCCACTGAAATCCTAGAAGAACATATACACCAGCCTAATACTTCATAAGTTCACCTCTTGGTAGTAACTACAGAGTTACAACTCTGTGAACTTGTTGAGCGAGTGTTATGTAGGTATTGAGCATTATACCCTTTTCACAGCGATCTATAGTTCTGTTGCATTCCGAAATAATGTGATTTCTTACGCTTCAAAGCACATTACATAATATCCCATATACGTTATAGTGTTGATGCTAGGTGATTTAGCTTCCCATGGCATAATCCAAATTCAGGTAGGAAATTCTCTGAATTAAATTTATAATAACCTGAGCGCAAATTATAACAATAATTAATACTATGTCCTCAAAACATATAGTATGTCTGACATTGATCAGTTTGAGACTTTGCATATTTTAACAGCCAAGTGTTCTTTGATTTCACCGCAATCTTAGGTTAGAACATGAGAAACAACAATTATCCAAATTTTATTCATATCAATCGAGTATAGCAGTATTTCACTTTAAAGAAAGTTTGCTAGTTTCCTAGAATACGAAAAATGGGCACTGTGCTAAATTACATAGAAAAGAAAATATTCAAGCAATATTGATGATTTGCTTATTAATTCTAATACTCCTTTTCTAAATAACAAAATGCATTACTTTGCATCATCGTACTTACATAAAAATGTCTTACACTCCAGCTTGGTACTTACGTATTATCGCAACCAAGTTGGCGCTATTTGTAAGTTTGAGTAAAAAAGTATGAATAGAAAGAAAATGTACATTTATTAATTACAGATAATTTTTAATACAGTTTTTTATATCATTTTGTTTTAAAATATAAAATAGCAATTAAACCTTTCCGATTTCGAATTTGAATAACTTGCAGAGTTATTTTTTCGGCGGAAATCTTTTGGCTATTGCTTTTAGCACTGATTGAAAACCGTATTCGCCATAACCATGTACACGTCGACTTATTTTTACTTAAAAAGAACATCTCAGAATTGCACAAAAATGGCATTGCGCACACTCTTGACTTTATCCATGTACACTGCTATTTTCTCATAAATTACAAAAATTTGCACGAAAACGCAGGCAAATTTTGTGAATCTCCACATGCTCTTTTTACAAAACTACGTATAACACGTATGGTTGCCGTAAGTAGGGTCGCCAAATTTCGCAATTTATGCGAATTTTGGCCTGGTTACGTTAATACGTAAGTACCTTAAACTTTTTTTGCTATATTTTAGATAACTATGGAGAGACTCCAGAACGATATGCCTAAGATAAGGAATAACTTAACAAAGTACAGGGTAGGTCAAATAAAGGTGACCCGGGAAAGAGAGTAAGTCTGTTCTCCGGGCCACTTTTATTTGCGGTGGCTGACATTATATACATGGGGGAAAACTATGAAAACGACTTGCAACCAGCTGGATTGAATAACTAGTGTTCAACGGGTTTACCGACTTAACTCCTGGTGATTTGGTTTCGTTTATTCAACTACGGCAAAGCACTCGAGGGCTATCTGCCTAAGGGAAGGGATGCATCCATGGAGGATTTTCTAAGGAAAACTGGTATACATGTTAAACTCGGGGAAACTCCGAAAACGCCTATGCAGCCAGCCCATTCGCCGGATTCGAAACTCTGACCAGTTTGGTTTGGTTTGTGTAACTGTGGCAAAGCCTCAAGAGCTATCTGTCTAAGGGAAGGGATGCCTTAGTGGAGGACTTTCTAATTGAAACTAGCTCGAAACTCTGACCGAATTACCAGTGTTCAGCGATTTTACCGGTCGCTGAGTACTGTCGAGCCCACCAGCGTTAGCTGCTGGTGGACTCCACTTAAACTGAAACGTTCATCTCATGTAACGTTCTCTTATAACACAGCTTCGTATTTAAAAAATGTGTAATACAATGTTTCTTAGTTGCACACCTGTTAAATGCATTACTATTTCGTATACGGTAGACTCTTTTAAACTCATTAGAATTACTTTTTTGCAACAAAATGTTGGTAAATTTTCACAATTCAGCCAATATTCATCATGAATTTTCAGCCAATTTTCAATAATTCAGGGCTCCTGAACACAGCTTTGTTTTTAGTACAAGATTACTAGAGTTACGACTAATAAATACAGCTTGATTTTTATTCGAGGAGTTCGTACAAATAAATATTGTTTTATATAGGCAATGCTGGACTAGTCTGTTTACAAAATTAGTAATTATTAAATAATTGAATATTTCACATTTAAAGCCTTTAATTTTTTTGTGCACAGCCTAATTAATGTTTGCTTTTAGTCTTTAGTGATCACCAACTCCAGCATCATATCTTTGAGCGACACAGATTATGCTTTCAAAGGCCTGGAGGAAAGTCTGAAAGTACTCAAAATCAAGAACTGCTCATATGTCAACAGCTGGGACTGGACGCAACTTAGAAACCTTCTCAAACTCGAAGAATTAGAGATTTCGAATTCTGAGCTTCTGGAGCTGACAGAAGAGTTTCTAAAGATTTCCAATCAACCACTGGTAGAACTCGATTTTCGAGAGAATCATATTCAGTGGTTACCTAACAACGCATTTGCAAGTTTCAAAAAGTTAGAACGTTTGAAAATAGGCAAAAATGATATATCAGTTCTAAAGCGATCGATGTTTCCAAAACCTGCCAAGAAGCTTCAGACTCTTGGACTCAGGTAAGATCTTCAAGCTGTTCTAACCATATACTTTCTCCTCCTGTTAAAAAGCAAAACTTCACTTTTATTTCAAAGCTTCACTTATTATTTCAACATTGTAGAATGTATATGAATTGATGAAATACTAGTTTAATTTTCATACTGGAATTTCCTGGACAGAGTACACTTATGTACTGCACAATTATGCTAACAGTAAATGCGGTTCAAAGTAAACGAATTAATAATTTGTAGATTGTTTTTCTGTAAATTAATTAAAGTTTTTAAACCTTACCAAGGAGTTAAAAAGAGTTATCACTCCGTCTGTGAAATAACAATCGAATTTTAAAAGGTTTAAATAAACTTATTTATTAACAATTTGAAACTGAACAAAGGTACGACTGGTGTACACATTAAAACTCTGGACTATCATTTAACTATTTAACAGAAAGTTGAACTTGAACTCGATGCTAGAAACTACAATACGAACAATATAACCAAGCATTAGCTCAATTTATTAAGTACACAATTTACTTCGGATAGCAAATTGGCTAATGCTAGATGTTTATTGAGGCAAATATAAATAGTGCTATGAACAGCCGCCGTTACCAAAAGCCTTTCAGAAACTCCGACTTAAATACTCTTAATTGATTTACTTCCTTTTGAGAGCTAATGAATTGAAGGTCCAAATCATAAAAAAAGTTTAATTTATATAAAATATTCTTTACAAATTGACAACACAATCCAGATTTTAGGAATTAACTGTAAATCAAAATACTAAGAATGGACTGAATAACTAAAAGGAATTGCTTTATTGAATAAAATCTCAGGCATAGTGAAAGAAAATACACATGAATTTTCTAAAAATTCATTGAAATGTCAGCAAAATTTTATTTCGTTGCTTATTTTAGCCTAATTGATTAGTTTAAATTTTGAGAATTTGAAATACAGGATTATATATATCTATTTCGCAGTTATAATCACATCAAAGAATTACCCGAAGACATATTTAGCGACATGCCAGCTCTCAAGTTCTTATACCTGGAATCCAATCCAATCCGTGTACTGGATGAAAGGGTTTTCAAACCCATTTGGAAGCAAATAAAAATGTTCATTATGTATCGTAAGTAAAGCCGTTTAAATTCTCAATTATTTCCACTTTCTGTATTAAGAAGTATTATTTATGTACAAGCCTGTTCGAGACATTACCTGATGCCGTAGTATTTTTTTGATACCTCCTTATTGTAGAGACCACCAAAATTTAATTGCTAATCAATCGAGATGCGTCGCTTTTTCGAATGGCTCAGACTGTCTTTTAGCACCTATAGACAGATTTGTATTGTCGATATGGAAGTGAGCGTTGTTTTATCGATTACAGTGGAACTCCAATTACAGTCCGTTTACAGTGGGACCAGACCCCATTCGCATAATCAAAAATTCGGATAATTGGATTTTTTCCAAAGAAAGGTTCTACGCACACTTTAATTAACTACTGTATGTTGATAATGGAAGAAAACACTATTTTTAAAGTAAAAGAGGTTTTAATTAATTAAAATGAAAAGGCGACACTTTTATGTACATGTTATATAGCGTACTGTACATTACTTAAAAGTGCTGAAAGTCATTGCTTGCTGAACATCTCGGTCAAAATAAGCTGTTTGACTGTCTTCATCCATTTTCGGGCAGCCAAATCGCGCTTCTGCTTGACAGTGCGAAAGTGCATGCGGCCACACTCGGGTTGACGCTTCACCCAAAGAACGTCTATGTACAATACATATTATTTGGCTCCATCCACTTCAGCGTAGTTTTAAGGCCTGCAAACGTGTTAGTTTCAACTTCGACATTAAGGTAATCTTCTTCCTCGACACTTTCTCTCACCCTTTCAATATATTCATCATTTAGAATTTGAAACCCAGGGTCTGACGAATCATACACCATCCATTCTGCTGTATCCTCAGCACTAACTTCTGAACATCCAAGAATTTTTAAAAGAATGTTTCTTAATTCCTCAAGTGACACGTCATTCTTATCTTCTCCTGTCTCTTCTCTTTCCTTTACTTGAGCTTCTTTTTCCTTTTTTCTCCTTTTCCTTCTCTTCTTCAGCTGATTCTGAAAGCGATACAAATAATCAGCGATTTGGATAGTCGGAGTTCGGCTAACTGAAGTTGTACTGTACTTTCAAATAAATAAAATTCGATGATTATTTTCCTAAAGCGCTCGGTCTACCATTTGTAATTATTATTTTAAATCGTACATATGCAATCACTAGATTATATCTATTTTATAAGCATGCGTTATTCATGAAAAGATGCGGATCTGCTTTGCTTTGACTAAATACTCTTGAGCATATTTTCAGTTTCAATACTTCAGCTCCTAACGGTTTGCTCAAGACCATAAATCGACTTCTTTAATCCTCTTTCAAGCGTATAAAATTCATAAAAGCGTAAAAAAAATTAAAAAATTTAAATCTGAAAGTTTTAGATTTTATCGATCGCCCAAAAGTGGTAACCAATTTCATTCTGTCGATCTAGCTTTATTATCAAGCATCATTTTTTCGCATTGACGCCATATGCAATTCACCAGTTAAAATTACAAAATATTTATCAGCCGCATAGCAGCATATGTTTATAATTGCGAATATGGCATACATTTTTTTGTTTTTTCAGTTATCAATGTTCATTTTTCTTAGTAAGATGGCTAACGAATTTTTTTTTTATAAAGACAATCCATTTTATAGTTTACTCTCTATTGCTGATATAAACGAGTTGTAAGAAGTTGGCAAATAACATGGTAAAATTGCTATCAAGTTATTTTCTTTAATTTTTTCACCTTTACTATACAGTATTTCAGCCAAATTTAATACTGCTTTAAATGCGTTCCTGTATTTCCAGAGTTATATTATTTCTATTTATAATTTCCTAAGAAAAAACAGTTTGTTAAATTTACATGTTCATAAACTGATGTTAACTTATGTTATACGTCTTTGGAAAATTATTTATTGTGTTAAAAAAGGAATAGTTTATGAATCTGAAATATTTAGGCAAATTAAAGCTTTAACTTTCCTGTTATTCTTTAAAATAAATATCACAATCAGTTTTAGATTTTTCTCTCAAACACAAGTGCTTCTAAATCTTCTTTTATTAGAAGTTGTTCTATTTTAAATTTCCGAACTGAATATAACTGAATTTGTTAATTTTTTAATGTGAACTGATTCTTTCAGAATAGCCATTAATACTGGTTACGATTACTTGTAATCCTTCAGAATAGCCATTATTACTGGCTACAATAACTTTTTATCCTTCAGAATAGCCATTATTACTGGTGACAATTACTTTTAATCCTTCAGAATAGCCATTATTAATGGTTACAATTATTTTTAATCCTTGTAAATAGTTATAGTCAGCAACAAGAAAAGTTTTAATACTTTACAGGAATCCTCCTAAAATACAATATTTTAGACTTTTATAGGAGCATTTTCAAAAACAAATTTCTCAAGTAATTTTAGTCTTATAATCTCTGATGTCTGTGCAGGCTTTTGAGTAAGTACATTTAAAAAAAAGTCACAAGTTCTAATAACCATGAAATCTTTATTCTAACAATGAATGAGACATGTGGGTCCTGTAACGATGATTCGAGGCGATCAGATCGTTTTTTCTATGTAATATCATCCATTTCTAGCGCCATATTCAGAGCCGGTTAACGCCGTAAGCTATTTGAGATATGGCACTCTTTATAAGTCTGTCATACTGTACCTTAATACTATATTTATACAATATTTTAATTTTGGGGGGTCCTTGTGTTGCTTATATGTAAAACTTGCACTAGCCATATTCATCTGGTACACAGCATTGCCAACGAAACGCAGAAGCACTCTCTTGTGCAGCTCCAACTACCGCTATATGCGGAGAATGCTGCACGTTCACTCTACTAAATGGCCCACCAGCGGCCGAGCGGTAAAGTCGCCGAACACTGGTAGTTGGGCCCGAAGTTTGAATCCTGCGAACGGGTTGGCTGCATGCAACGTCGTGTTCCCCATGTGTAACGTGTATACGAGCCAGTTTCCCTTAGAAAGGCCTCCACGAAGGCATTCCTCCATTTAGACAGATAGCCCTAGTGTGCTTTGCCATAATTAAATAAACCAAAAAATCAAATCTCTCTACTAAATATATATCGCAATCCTAGCACTATTGTTTAACTGATAGAATAGCTATTTTTTTTTTTTTTTTACATTTCAGAAATTCTAAAGAAAAATATCCGAAAATTTGTTTTTTTCATATTTAATGCATAGCTTATTGAAACCAGGACCAATGCATCTTTCGCTCTATCAATGAACAAGCATCACTTTTACCAGTTCAGCATATTATTTGATTATCGATGAGAATGAACAACAACATTAAACTGAGCAAGAGTTAAAACGGTTATATGAATGATGTTAAGTAAGAACTAAGGAAAACTTTTCGTTTTGATAATATAATAGGGATTTATTTGTTTCCACAAGTTTGCTAAATATCATTTGTGTTTTAAGTGATAATTTTCAGAAAGTTGTATTAAATAATTTCCAACCTTTTACTTCTCGATTAATTTATTAGCAATTATTCACATTCTTTTAACATTCTCTTCAGTACTCAGAAACACAACTGGCCTGAAAATAGAAGAAATACTAGAAATTTGATTTTTCATATGATATGTGTAATCTAAATTTCTGGAATTAATTTTCAGTGTACTTATACTGTTATAATTCTAGCATTTAATTTAAAAGAACTTTACAATTATGCATAATTTTAATGATTTTTGCTTTATTTCAGAGAATCTTCTCATATGTGATTGCCGATTAATGTGGTTGACGGAAATGAATCATAAGCTAAAATTTATTCACGGCACATGCAGCGCTCCACCTCGGCTAAAAGGCAGAAATATATTGTCTTTGGAACCTGATGAATTATGGTGTTAAAGTTGTTTAATTATTCCAGCTTTATCGAGATCGGAAAGTTAAAAATCCAATGAAATAAATAATTTTATTTTTCAAATGTCCTTTACATTTTTGCTTCACTCTTCCTTACAGATTTTTGGATGGTTACTTACACTGAAATGACAAAAGTCATGGGATAGCAATATACAAATATACAGATGTCAGTAGTATCGCGTAGAAAATGTATAAATGCGAAGTTCTTTGGCACTGTATGTACGTGACGATTGACTTATCGTGATGTCGCCATTGGGGCTAGTTTGATAGAGCCGGATACGCAGTTCACAGGACTGCATTGCCGGCAATAACCTGCCAGTCAGTCAGTCAGTCAGGGCTTTCATTTGTGTTCAAGTTATTCATGTGAAGAGGCTTTGACGTGATTATGGCCGCACAACGAGAATTAACAGACTTTGAACGCAGAATGGTAGTTGGAGCTAGACGCATGGGTCATTCCATTTCGGATACGTTAGGGGAATTCAACATTCCGAGAACCACAGTGTCAAGAGTGTGCCGAGAGTATCTAATTTCAGGCATAACATCCCACTATGGACAGCGCAGTGGCCGACCACCTGCACTTAACGACCGAGACCAGCGACATCTGCGTAGAGTTGTCAATGTTCACAGACAAGCAACACTGCGTCAAATAACAGCAGAAATCAATGTGGGACGTGTACGATAGGAAAATGCGACGAAATTTGTCTTCCTTAAGCTATGCCAGCAGAAGACCGACTCGAGTGCCTTTACTGACAGCACGACATCGCCTGCAGCGACTCTCGTGGGCTCGTGAGCATATCGGTTGATCCCTAAACGAATGGAAAACCGTGGCTTGGTCAGATGAGTCACGAATTCAGTTGGTAAAAACTGATGGTAGGGTTCGAGTGTGGCGCAGACCCCACGAAGCCATGGACCCAACTTGTCAACAAGGCACTGCTCAAGGAGGTGGTGGTTCCATAATGGTCTGGGCTGTTTTTACATGGCATGGACTCGGTCCTCTGGTGCAACTGAACCAATCATTGACTGGAAATGGATACCTTCAGCTACTTGGAGATCACTTACAGCCATTCATGGACTTCACGTACTCAAACAACGATGGGATTTTTATGGATGACAATGCGCCATGTCACCGGGCCACAATTGTTCGCGATTGGTTAGAAGAACATTCTGGATAATTCCAGCGAATGATCTGGCCACCTAGATCGCCCGACATGTATCCCATCGAACATTTATGGGATATCGAGAAGTCAGTTCGTGCCCAAAACCCTGCACCGTCAACAATTTCACAATTATGGACGTCTATAGAGGCAGGCATGGCTCAATATTCCTGCATGGGACTTCCAACGACTTGTTGAGTTCATGCCACGTCGAGGTGCTGCACTTCGCCGGGCAAAAGGAGGACTGACAAAATATTAGGAGGTATCTCATGACTTTTGTCACTTCAGTGTATATTACTCATGAAATCACATGAGCTTATAATATTGCTATACTGCAGTGGTTTTAAAAAATCAGTAATATATACTTCTTCCGTATAAAAGATAATAGATTTGAATCTTATTTTTGAAGCAAATTTCTCTAAAATTAATTTTGAAAAAATTAAGATTTCAAGACATTCCCACATTGAATTTTCCATTTATGAATTCGCAGCTGAAAAAAGTTGATTCTGGTCTAGAAAAGTTATAAATTTTAATTGATTTATGCTAACTTATAATAGTTTCCTTCCCCCGTAGGCGCTCTCGTGATGTAAATATTAACACATTCAGTCCGCAGTTGAAAGATCCCTGTTTCGGATACCGGCGGGGTCGTAGTGGATTTATCAGGCTTTCAGCTCCAAAAAACTTAACGTCTCTATAAGTGCGCCTAACTAAAGGGTGGCGAACGATAATCTCTCACTCTTTGGGACCTTCTATGGAGAGAAATGCAAATCACCGTCTAAAAGTCCATTCCGGAAAACGTGCCTTTCATTATGTGGCATGTAAAAGGTCCTTTACTCGACGAAGTGATTTAAACAGGCATAAGAAGATTCATAACAAAAATACATTTTCTAATGCAAGTATGTATTTGAAACGTTTTAGTTGCGTTGATAATTTAAGAATTCATGAAACAATTCATTTTTGAAATTTTACTTGAGCGAAATGTTTATTTTTTTCTTGAAAGCATGTAAGCATGAATACATATTTGAATTCTTATGGACGAGCTTCAGATGTATTTCATGTCCTAAAAGCTTTAGTGAAGTTGGATAATTTAAAACGTTATACAGCTTCTCATTTTGGAAGTTGTACTGAATCCTCAGATATTTCAAATAAAAGAGATTTGAGCATACACATAGAAACACAGTAATTTTTACATTCAATAGCTATCGGATGTTTTAACAATATTTAAAGGTCAAAAGAAACTATTACTTACATAGATGTCGTAAAAGTAACTCGTAATAAAAAAATCGTGATTTTGGTTTTGCTTCGAATGGTAATATACTTATTACTGCTTCAATAATTATTATAAATATGAAATTCCTACTTGAGTTAGTAATTAAAAATTGTTTGTGTAATGTAATGCAAATCAAAACTCAGATTTTTTTTTCTAAATTTGTCTCAATATGTCAGTGCTTCAAAGTTTTCTTTTAATGTTAACTATTTTCAGTACTGTTCGGTTAATGGGGGTAAATACCACAAACTCTTTTTTTTTTTCGATATTTTAGGTCTATTTACATAAGTGATCAGAATAAAATGTCGGTTACCCAAAACAAAGCTGAAAACTTTCATCAATACACAAATAAAAGTATTTATTTTCATGAATATGCAAAGAAAAATTTCTTATACTTATTCGATTCCTTCAAAACATACAAATTTCCTTGAGAATTTCTTCAAATGGATCTTTAAATCTCTTCTACACATAAATTCGGCAAAGTACAACTCCATGTGCTGATTGGCATTGCTCCGGCTTTTTCAATTTCTACATTGAATTTGTTGCCAATACCCCTCTTTTTTACAAAAAGGAGACGGCCTATTTTTCACTTTGTGTTAAGTCCAAAATATTGAGTATTTTTGAGTACAAAATTTGTGTAATAGTAAAAATCGGTGTTGCTTGTTTTAAATGAATACTGGAAATGACGGTGATTGATTCCTGTCAAGTTTGAACGCAAGCTGGTTTAAATTATTTGGCGACTTTCTGCTTGCGCTCGGCTAACCGAAAAGTACCCTACTTTCAGTTATAATTAACATCAGAATCATTTACCAGACATTTAAGTCAACGCTGAAAAACTTTAGATAAAATGTATTTTGCGTTCTGTGGATTATATTATTGCCGGGATTTCTGCTTTTTTATTATATTAATTATAAATTAGCTATTTCAGGAAAGGATCTATGTGATTTACCAAACAGTTAAAAGTATATTCTAAACCAGGGCTTCTTAAACACTTTTCAGTCCCGACCGCTTTTTATCATTGAGAATTTTTTCGCGATCCCTCGACCCCGTAATATTTACGAAAATTTTGTGGTACCCCCATAAGCATTGCACAAATCCGACACACGGGTGAGTGAAATCGTCAATATTTTCACTTGGTTATTGTAGTATACTATTGCAGGCCATTAACTTTAATTTCTAATTTTAAGACACAGAACAACGTGAAAATTTTAACAGATGAAACAGATGAAATGACAGCGTCAAGTGCAAAGCAAGTAAAATGGACGTTTATATTATAAAAAGAATGCTTGAAAACGTTTTCGTTTTTTCTTTGACTGCATTGTGTTATCTTTATCTTTTTCACATGTATTGTGTAAAAAATTCGGTAATTGTAAAATTATTACAAAAAAAGAAAAAAATCTGAAAAGGTTTCAGAATTTAAATTACGTCCAAAGGGGCGTTTTTCTAACATTTTGTCTGTTACCTTTATTCGTTAATATCACGTTATTTCCACTTAAACCATAAAATTCAGCTTAAGATTGTTCTTAATTAAGAGCAATATCGCAAAATAGCTTTAAATTGAGCATATGCTTTAGAATTTCCGATACACGAGTCTCACGCTCGCTGAGAGATAAAAATGTTTTTTCTGTGCAAACGTTGCGATTGCTCGCTTTGAAATTCCCTTGAGTTTGCTAATCAAAAATTCGTTAAAGATTTACAAAATATGAAATCGATAATAAAACAAATTCCAAATTTCAAATTTGTGCTTCCCTGTACCCATATTCGTCATTAAAAATTCAATGGCTCTATGTACCGTTGTTTTATCCCAATGCGAGAAATATACATTCATTTTTACAGATTTTTCATTATTTAATTTCTTCAAATATAATGCAGGAATCTAACATTTGGTGGCAACAATCTGAAAATTAAAACTGACATTTATAGTGAACCAACGCAAAATCGGAAAACAATAATCCTCCAAATACAAAGCCCTTCGAATTAACAGCTAAAACTTTTGGCGACCCCCCCTGCTGCAGGTCACGCAGTTTAAGAAAACCCTGTTCTAACTAACTAACTCTAATAAATTTATTTAACAGAATGCGTAATCACTTACATAGAATTATATTGAAAACGGGTTGAGATCCTAGAAAAACGAAATCAAGTGCTGGCTACAAAAGTTAAAACTCAACTTACTTCTTAACATCCGTCGCTTATGATTTGTGGGAATGAAATTGGTAAGCATTATTAGTTGCGAGTTTCAGTGAAAGCACACTGAAGTGCAAATGGGAAAAAAACTAGTGTACTGTAAACAAATTTAGCCCTAGAAAACCGGGAAACTCGTTTTGTGCCATTTTGATTTCTTGGACCTTATTTTGATTGAGATTACGGCAGAGCACACTAGGGTTATCTGCTTAAAGGGAGAGATGTCTTCTCGGAGGACGTTTTAAGGGAAAGTGGCTCTTATACACGTTCTTATTTTTTGTTAGTTCGGCACAGTAATTCGAAAAATTGCAAGAGCAGCGTGCTAGATGTCCGACAGAAAATTTACAGTTTCGCACATGCTTGCAGCCTTACTCTACACTGTTACACTGAAAAATGAAATAAAAAAAGAGACTTTATTTTCGATTTAAATATACAAATAAAATAGTGATAAAATATATAAAG